TCTTGCAAACCATATACAAAGTTGCTATGAGCTGGAACCAACTACCCCTTAACAACAACAATAACAAAAGATACTTTATGTGCCAAAGAAATAAGAAAGGAAATGCACTTTAATATAGCAACAGTATAAAAGCTAGGAAAGATATTACCTAAGAAAGAAGGGCCGTATAGTGTCAACCCCTATGGATTCAAAATTCAATAGTACTCAGACTTTCCTCGCATAAAGAAAGCAACTAAACTGCATAAAGATGACACAGTACAAAAAGTCATTATTAAAGTTGTGTAAGATTGAAGATATTTTATTATTTAAAAATTATTTTACCTATAAATACTAAGATAATCAGAGATTTTACAGAATCAGTATAATTACAGGTAGAGAACTGAGGATGTAATAGTTCAACTCTTCTTGCTTCTTGAGTTTTAAGAAATCATCTAAATTAACTTTAAAATGTTCTTGTAGACATTACTGAACTCTGTCTATACCAATGAATTCCAATGGCATCACTGTTTCCATGGTAACTAATGCACTTCTAAAGAGAAAAAAAACAATAGAGCAAGACTATAAGCCAAGGAAAAAATGGAATAAAGTGTGGTATAAAGAAAGCATAGCATTTCTCCTTTGCATTTATAGAATACTTTCAAATTTCAAATGCTTTGCTATTACTTAGAATCCCAGGCTCTTAAGAGCCAGTAGGCTATCAGGGGTCATCCCACTCATAACAAAGATCCTCTTTACATTGCTAAACCATGGTTGTACAAGTGCTTACACAGCTCAAGTTGGCCAAGTTCAATCTCATTCACACTTCAACACTACTGTGATCTACCCTATCTTGCTATGTAGGCTAAAGAGATGATTAAGACATTCTACCTCATTTATGAATTGGGCTGCAAACCGCAAGGTCAGCAGTTCGAAACTACCAGCTGTTCCGTGGGAGAAAGATGAGGCGTTCTGCTCCCGTAAAGATTTACAGCCTCGGAACCCTGGACAGGGTCGCTATGAGTCGGAACCGACTCCACAGCTAACAACAACAACAACAACAACAACCTCATTAAAAAAAATTTTTTTTTTAATTTAGGGGCAAGATAGGCATATAAATAATTAAAACATACGGATAATATATATATATAGTTGTTGTTGTTCTTGTTAAGTGCCGTCGAGTCAGTTCCGATCCAAAGTGACCCTGTACAGGGTTTCCTAGGAGCGGCTGGTGAGCTTGAACTGCTAACCTTGCAGTTCAAACGGCTTTGCAGTCTGGCGCATTAACCCACAGTGCCACACCAGGACTATATATATATCAGGGACCCTAAATTCCAAGTAGAAAGATTACGGTGTTCTAATGATTTTCATTTCCATTCTACGTTAGCCCCACACTCCCATGACACTTCTTGTAACTTGTCATGTCACAGAATTGCTCCAACATAAACTTACTGATCACAAACAGCTTTTTCACTCTCTTCCTAATCCTTGCACTAGTCTTAAAAGCCCCAACTTTTATCTTTCAGTGGCACCTGGACTGAGTATCTATTCTACTTCCACACTGCACAATGCAAGCTGCTGAGACCTAATGAAGGAAATTAACAGACACATAGATCGGTACCATAACAAACTTGTTACTATTTAATTACATTTTTCCACAAAATTTCTGAAGCTCCCTCAGAAAGTACTTCATGAAAAATATAGGTCATTGGGTAGGAAATCTCATAACACTAAATCTACTTCCTCAAAGTCCACACCTGCTGACCAAGAACGTGTTCCTTCATTGTTTCTTCCAGTCTCAGAAGAATGAGACTGGCTATTCTTTCTGCCCAAGGATAACTTAAACAGTTACCCTCCACCCTGTTAAGAAATCTCTTACCTTCACACACTTGCTGATTCTCCAACTGTCGTTAATTTCTGTAGCCACTTCTTCCTTGTCAACTATTATTCTCTCTTGCCTTTCATTCTAGTTCTTAGCCTACTAAATCTCAGTTATTTTTTCTCCACTTATATGTTACTAAAAGGGACCCTTGAGGTGCAGTGGATTAAGGGTTGGACTATTAAGCAAAAGGTCAGCAGTTCAAACCAACAAGCTGCTTTCTCTTGGGATAAAGATGAGACAGTATGCTCCATACAGATGTACAGCCTCAGAAACCCTGTGGAGTAGTTTGACTCTGTTCTATAAGATTGTTGTGAGCTGGAACACACTCAACAGTAGTAGTCTTTATTCCTAGAATCTGTTCTCACTCCTCTTATTTTAAATCACCTATAAAAATTGATAACATTTAAATTTTTCTTGCTTATAGATTTTTCTGATAATCTTAGAAATGATCATTGGTCCTCTCTCCCTGCCAAAAAATACACATTATGCACACAAACAAAAATCTTTACCAATGGATAAATTAACAGCATCATCACAGATGATGAAGAAACTAAAGTGGTCAAGATTTCATTCTTCTTGGAACAATAATTAAAGCTCATGAACACAGGAGTCAAGAAAACAAGCAATCCATTGCACTGAGACAATCTGCTGCAAAAGAGCTCTTTAAAGTGTTACAAAGCAAAAGTGTCACTTTGATGCCTAAGGTGTACCTGACCCAAGCCATGCTATTTTCAGTTATCTCCTATATATGTGAAAGCTGGACAACGAAAAAGAAAGACCAAAGAAGACCTGACATATTTGAATTGTGGTGCTGGCTGGCAAAGAATATGGACTTCCAGAAGATTGAAAAAAAAATCTGTCCTGGAAAAGTTATAGCCAGAATATTTCTTGGAAGTGAAATTGGAGCGACTTTGTCTTGCTTACTTTAGACACATCATCAGGAAGGACTTATCACTGGAGAAAGACATTAAACTTGGTAAAGTAGAGAGTGCAAAAAAGAGGAGCCCCTCAACGAGATGCACACCCTGGCTGCAACAACAGGCTCAAAAAATAGAGTTCCTAGTTGGCCTCAACAGTTACCAACTAGAAGCCAAAAGGTTGGTAGTTTGAACTCATTCAGTGGCACCTTAGAAGACAAGCCTAGCAATCGGCCTTGAAAGTCCTATGGAGCAGTTCTACTCTATGCATGGGGTTGCAATGAGTCAGAATCAACTTAATGGCAATTAACAGCAATAACAACAACCCATACTGTTGTTGTTGAGGGCCATCAAGAGTCAGTTCTGATGCAAAGAGCAAATAAACATTCAGTTACAGTAGGTTCAGAGATAGCATTGATCGTGAAGGTGGTGCAGGACCAGACAAGGGTTCATTTTATTATCTGTAAGGTCACTATCTCAGTGGCACCTAACAACATGCATAAAACCAAACTTTGTGATTGTTGTTGCTAAGTACCATCAAGTCAGTTCTGATTTATAGCGACCCTGTATAGCGTTGCCAAAGAGCAGCTGGTGGGTTTAAGTCGTCAACTTTGTGGTTAGCAGTTTAGTGTTTATCCTACAGCATCACACCAGGAGTTCATAGCCACATTATTTTGTATTTAATATCAGAGGATTTGAAGTCCTGATGTGGCATCGTAGAATAAGCACTGGACTGCTAAGTGCAAGGTTCAAGAGCTAGCAGTGATGTAGATGCTTTATTCATTCAGTTTTCTATTTAAGGGGGCACTTGATTATCATTGCTTTAACATTTTATCAACTTACAATTCACAACATAAAACACCAAGGGATTTTTGATCCTTCATTTATCCACATATAAAATCTGTGAATGAAATGCATTCTGAACACAATTTTGATCCCGCTAGTGAGAATATCCTCAGAATACTTGAAGGTCAATATACAGACATATTCCTTATCAAGCTCCTTCATTTTCACAAAAGGTTGTCTATTCAATCCAGAGCTCCATAACTAGTCAAAACCCACAGCTCTGCACTAACTGGCAAGGGAGAAAAGCTGCACTGGGGTATTTGTCAAGGAAGATCATCTCAACTCCTTTACTATTATAGTTACTATTTTATACTTTTTGGAAAGCCATTCATTCTAACACATCATTGGATCTTATCTGGTGTCAGGTCTCACGGAAGAATCTGGTGACAGTTATGAATCTTCTCTAGCACACTTGATTGAGCACATAATTTTGGAGGATGGATGACAGGACTTCAGAATCTAATCCATGGATTGAAGTTCAAAAGGCTTTGCTTTATAACCTTTAAAATCTGTCCCTGAATTAACCAAGACCGCTCGAGAGCCACATAGTTGGATGCATCTCATTGGCCTTGTACTAAAATGTTTGTTCTAAATTGTATGCTGGCAGAATTCCATTTGTTTTTGCTGAGGAACACTCAAAGGAAGAATGCTCTATTTGCTCTAAAGAATGTAATGAGGATGTGTTCAGTGCTTAGTTTCCTCTTTCTGAGAACCTAGGGGAGACAATGCCTCTCTGGTCTCAGCTCTGCTTCTCCTGAGCATTCAGCTCTTTTGAGGGGAAATGGGTAGTTTGGTATACTATGGCTCCTTCCTTTAGGCTGCTAAAAAATTCATTGGCTTACCTCTAACGATTTAAGTCTCTTAACAGCATACATTTTGTTTACTGACTTCACTCTTGAAGTGATACTGTTTCTCACTTTATCCATATTATTTATTTTTAGCTGGTTTTATTTTACCACAGTGTGTAGAAACCTCCTTACTCTTCAGAAGAATGTGGCTATATATGCATTAAATTGTAGGATACAAAAGGAAAAGAGCTATCTTTTTCACCTGTTTCACCATGGGTGATATTCTCAACTCTAGCTCTCTGACCATTTCCTAAAATACTCTTGCTTTTGTTCTTGTTTTTTTAGTGATAGATTATTGGAGAGAAATAATACCTGAAGTATGTTTTAAAATTACTTTTGGTGAACACAGCATGTATACGTGTGCATGCTAATATGTGTGTTTTAAAGTAAGCTTAGAGATGAATAGGATTTTGACTACATTTTCATATAGATTTTTGCACAAAACTAAATTAAAGCTTGATTTTTAAAACAATTTGCCCTCTACTTGAAACAGTTTCACATTTTTGCAAAAGTGAGGCTGTAAACGCTTACAGGTACGTGGACTTTCCGAAACATCTCAGCACTCTTGCGTGCATCCATGAGTGCAATGTCCTGGGGCGTGGAGACAATCACAGCACCTACCAAAAGAGAAACAAAACACAGATAATGCTATTTTCATTCTCGATGAGGAGAGTCCTGATTTTATGTTGCCTTCATTCTAAAAGAACCTATTACACTATGTATTTAGGTAATTCGTATAAGTTTTACATAAGTGAATGAATGCCTTTGCCTTTCTTTAACTCATCACCTCTAAACCACAGCTAACTAACTGCCCAGTGATTCAGCATCAAAGGCATACCATGACAATTTTCTTCCCATTCCACCAATGTACTGGTTAGATGCATCAAGGCAGGCCTTTCAAGACGCTAATAATCTACTTGAGGAAACCAACAATGAAGGTTTGCAAATAATGTGCTGAGCAACACAACAGAGATATGGAAAGAGTACCATGGAGTTATTAAGGAGAAATGGGAAGAAAAATAACTAGTTAAATCTGCGGGGAAGGAAGAGAAGCAAGAGAGAAGGAGTAGCAATTGGGAAAAAGCCCAAGTTGAGTTCTGAAAGTTCGTATTATAAAAAAATTACTAGTGTGAAACACACTGTGGAGAACAAACAGGAGGTTGTTGCAGAAATTAAGATGTAAAATAAAGTTGGGTAAACTAAAGCAGCACTGATTGGATAAAAACGGAGGCTTACTGGATCACCCTGTTAGCCCACAGAAACCAGATGGTTTGAGAGTATGTTTTGAGAGAAAGCACAGAACAAGTTTTTCTTTAAGTAGAAACTCGAGAGGCCTAGTTTATGATTTCAGAGTCTCTGAATTTCTTAAATTTTGTGGTTTCTTTTAAAATATAGTTTAAAAGTTTTAAACATAAACACTATACATCATCGTTATCTATAACAAAGTACACATTGGCATGACATTTTAAAGTGTCAAACCATCAAGTTTTTAAGTGGCAGTACTTTGTGACAGCTAATAAAAATAGAGGCAGGGTTAACAATAAAGAAATGACTGCACCAAGTAAAGGGCAAATGATAACATATTGTCTGAAGGAATATTCTGAATAAGTTAGAATAGAGAAAAGTAGTAGAAAAGCAAGTTATCATGGGGTAATTCAGACATACCAAACTTGAAATAATCTGTGTTAACAGTTGTTGTTATTAAGTGCCGTGGAGTCAGTTCCAACTCAGAATGCACCTACATAGGGTTCCCAACGGTAGCTGGTGAGTTTGAATCACCAATCTTGTGGTTCTAACCAATCTTGAGATCTAGTCCTTAGCTTACAGTGTTTATCTTTGTAGTTGGTTATTTAATTTTTTTTAATTATATAAACTTTACAGCCTTCTGGTGGCATGGTGGATTACATGTTCAGCTGCTAACTGCAAAGTCAGCAGTTAAGCTCTACCAGTTGTTCTGTGGGAGAATGATGAAGCGTTCTGTTCCCATAAAGGCTATTTCCTTAACTATTTAGTTAGGTCATTCTCTAATCCATTAGTCTTCACAAGCACTCTTAGCTTCATATGGTCATTATTTTAAATAGCTTTTGATAATACCAGTATCTCATTACACAATACAACTGCTTGAACAAATACGATTTTTCTCAAACAAAACGTGCTACAGTGCCTTGCACAAGAATGGCACAGCAAGGATTGGTGACTTAAACCATTTTCCTAGATAACTATAACATGAACTCTTATTTGGTAACTCCTTGAACTAGGCATCAAGAGCTGAATTCAGCTTTCATTGACTGTATTACTGTACTATATAACCTTGAATAATGTACTAGATCTCAAATAACTGTTCTATAAAAATGAACCTATTTTCATTATCTATTTAGCTTAAAGAATTTTTCCATACAAATTAAAAAATAATGTAGAAGTGTTATAGAAATATAAGAGTCTAGAAAGAGGAATTAAAGTGACTAGGTTTTCTCTTTCCACTACCACAGTATCACAGATAAGCATCCCTGACATCTGAGTTTCTTTGCCACAGTATTCTCAATAGCACCATTCAGACATCAGTTAATAACAACTTTTGACAAAGACAATGATCACCTTCCATGTCCTATCAAATGCTCAAAAAAAAAAGTAAACATTCCACTGGTAATACCAATCATGTTTATAAAAATTCTTTGGTGTAAGACTTTTGTGTATGTGCCAGTGTGTTGTACTGTGGTAGCATGCATGTCATTACGCTGCTGGAAGTCATGCCACCAGTATGTCAAGTAGTAACAGAGTCACCAATGCCTGGCAGGTATCAGCAGAGCTTCCAAAGACAGACTAGGAAGAAAGGCTTGGCTACCTAATTTCAAAAATTATTCAATGAAAACCTTATAGATCACAAAACACTGTCCAACTCACTCGCTTTGCATTTGCTATTGTTGTTGCTGTTAGGTAATGTTGAGTTAGCTCTAACTTACAGCAACCCTATGCACAGCAGAACAAAACACGGCCTGGTCCTGTGCCATCCTCACAATTATTGTTACGCTTGATCCCACTGCTGCTGACAGTGTGTCACTCCATCTCATTGGAGGTCTTCTTCTTTTTCACTGACCCTCCACTTTACCAAGCATGATAATCTTCTCCAGGGATTGGTCCCTTCTGATAGCATGTTTGAAGTATGGGAGACAAAATCTCACCATTCTGGCTTTTAAGAAGCATTCTGGCTATACTTCTTCCAAGACAGATTTGTTTATTCTTCTGGAGATCCATGGAACTGCTAATATTTTTCTCCAAAACCATAACTCAAATACATTAATTCTTCTAGAGTTTTCCTTATTCATTGTCCAACTTTCACATGCACGAGGTTACTGAAAATATCATGGCTTAGATCAGGTACATTTTAGTCCTCAAAGCAGTATCTTTGCTCTTGAATGCTTTAAAGAAGTCTTGTGAAGCAGATTTGCCAAATGCAATCAATGTTGTTTGATTTCCTGGCTGCATTTGTCATTGTTCTTGTTGTTAAGTGCCGTTAAGTGGGTCCTCACTCATAATGACCCTGCATAGGGTTTCCAAGGGGCAGCTGGTAGGTTAGTACATCCAACCTTGTGGTTAGAAGTCCAATGTTTATCCTACAGTGCCACACTGGAGGGATCCATCACTAGATCCTAGAAGCAGAGAAAGGAAACCCTCAGATGGAATGACACAAGGAAGCAACAACAGACTCAAACACAATAGCAACTATTAGGATGATGTAAAACCAGGCAATGTTTTACAATGCTGTACACAGTGTCTCCATCAGTTAGAGTTTACTCACTGACAGCTATCTGTCTACCTATGTATCTCTAAGTCCTTCAGCAATGCAATCAGCTGTTAGAACCACTAAAAAATAAAATAAAATTCTAGTCCTTCTTGGAGTATACAAAACATAAACAGCCCACTCATAAATCACTAACTCTTTTGTTACACTAAAACTTGGCATGTCACTTTAATAAACCATGTGAGATCCCTTAGAATGAATGATGAATGATAACGAAATCAAGATTAAAAAACAAACAAACAAAAAAAAAAAACCTCCAGGAAAATTAGATTCACTTACTAGAATATACATCACAACTGAGATCTTTTTATTTAAAAAAATGGTGCCCACATCAAGGATCATTCTTATCCCCTATGTACACAGGGTTGATAGGGATGGGCAACTTAGACATTGGCTATCTAAAATGGAGAGGGCAATAAAGGCATGAAGTGACTGGCTTATAAGTTTTCAAGAGGGAGTTAAGTTTCAGAGTGTGCAGGGAAAGATAGAATCCCCACTGAATAGTTTTCATCTTGTCTAGAGGGGTCTGGTGAAAAGATATGAGGATAAGATTCTTATGATTAAACAGTAATTGTTATCATGACTAATTGCAACGGTCACAATAGTAAAGTAGAAGTTCTGTAACAAAAAGTGGGGAGTAATTAATCTTACATCCAGGAACAGAGGACCTAGGACTATCAAGGGAGAAGAGCGTAAGTGCAATGTGGGACCCTATCCAGAAAAGCAGCAACACCAGAGATGGAAGCAGAGATGAGGATATGTAGAAATAGAGCAATTGAGGACTCTATACTCATGGAAAGAGAAAGGCTATATGCTGGCAGCCAGGAGGCTGGCTTGCAGAATGTGCCCTTTGGTTGTTTAAATTATTATATATTCCTGAGTGTTTTTATGTACATTCAAAAATACCCCAGAGAAAATAGAAGCAAATACTGTTGAACGATGATGCATGGAAGGGATTGTAATCATTGCAATGAAATTAAAAACAACAGGATGAGTGTAAAACCAATTGCTCCCATGTAAATTGTCACTAAATTTACAATAAAAACTTAAAAAAAAAAAAAAGAAAAGAAAAGAAAAGAATGGTGTCGACATTTTCTTGTTATCACAGCTTTCAGCTTAAAATATGGTCTCCAAAATTGTAAATGATATTGTATTTTATCTTTATGGTGCTTGGTAAAGTTTAAGTTTTTTGGTGTTTTTTTTTTTTAATGGCTCAAGGAACATGAACTACTATGAACTAGCCAATATGAACTAACTACATCACTGTGATGTCACTTTAGTTTTGTGATTGAGTTTGTAAGAAAACTTGTGCTCCCTCTACTGACCAAAAGAAAATGTCAGCGGAAACAAAAAGAATGTTTACTTTGCAGTAAGTAGAATTCTTTTCTGGGAGAGGAGAAAGTACCATAAAACACATCTTTCAAAAACTCCATTGAGAATTCTATGCTTCCAAGATAAATGTCTAAGTACAAGGAATAAAATAATGGCTTTTTAATGTTATTATCCAAGATACAATATTTCTAAGAAGCTTTTTATCAACTAAAATTTATTATGAAAAGTTATTTTCTGGAGGATTCTAGCAAATGTGTAAACATCCTAAGAATATTTAGTGTACTGTCCTAATTGTTAAATATCTTGACTATTAGGAGGAAAATCTATTTGTAACTACATTATCTGGATCTGGGTCAGAGTTCAGAGTAGTGAGACATTTAAAACTGATTATTCCAGATGTTAGGCAGATCATCATAATTATACTAGTGTAGAATTACTCAACTGTGCCATTCTAAGTCTCTAAGGCATGGACTGTATCTAATTCTC